GGAATGAAAACACATGGATCAAATAATTTCCAAAGTCCATCAAACATAATAATGGCAATTATATTTGATGCATATTCTACCTCTAACCATCACATGATTAGGTGCTGCAGGAGCACACCAGGAGTCTAGTTTCTTTGTTCTAAAACTTATCAAATAGTGTCTCTTATACATTTTTTTTTGCAAACATGAATAAATAAGGTCATGCTTTGTTACTTTCGTTCAGAGTTTTATGAATCACAAGTTATTGCTTTTCCAAAATGAAGCTAAGTGTGATAAAGTTCCTGTGCAAGCCAATACCCAGAGGTTTGGAGTCAGGGCCTCCAGACGGCCGAAGGGGTAAGCTGCAAGAAGATGCAGCGTTCCTCTTAAAACACGCTCCCAACTCCAACTCATAACGGCCACAGATAATCAGATAAAGAGGCGCTGTGCATGTTGAGTGGAAAGTCTCAGAATCAGCAGGATGAGGTGGATGCTCACGCTCACGAGGCTCATGACACCGGAAGGTGCCAGAAACCTCAGCCATCTGATCCCCGAGACTCTTTATACGACCTTACCCCAGCAGTCAGTGGTCAGAATCCTCACTTCCTCATTCTTCTCTGTTATCTGGCTGAAACAACTCCTTCCAGCATCTTCCAAATAAATAATGATAAAGGTTCTTTCCTCCTGAATCCCATCACACCATCTCATGCTGTTTGCTGTCCACTTTTCTCATCCTCTGTCCTCTGTATCCTTGATTGCTCTGCAGATTGTTGATTATTTCCATGCCTAGGTCATCCCAAATGTCATCCAATTATATGATTTTTAAAAAGAGGCCAGCAACACATCTGTATGGTTATACAAGGGACTAATTTAAAGGAATATCATCTAAGTCTACTTTTCCTTTATTGGAAGACCCTTCCCTCATCACTGAGACTACATCCTTTAATCCAAAAGGTCACATGAGCAAGGACAGAAGTAAGGAGCAGAATGGAATAATGAGCAAAAGAGATCAGTTACACTATCAGAAAGCAAATCTGATTCGGTACTGTGCATTTCCTGATTCAGGACAGAGAGATCTCAACAGCACTGTGTGCTCCGGTTCTAATCATGATCATGGGGATATTTTCTGACATGCCCTCTTGAGGTTACTTGTGCTTTGTGAAACTCTTCAATATTGACCAGTTGGTTTTATTTAGAAGCCTGGGAGGTTGGTGAAGTGGCAGTAGATATGAACAGCGATCTGCTCTCGGGTCCACATATTAAAGAGATACACTCACAAATAATTTGGGACTTTGCATAGGTTATGCTCAGAGACTAATATTTTACCATCAGTGCCCAGTCTATCAGAGAAATGGGTATACCCAGTGATCTTCCATTAAGGGACCTATGGATTCTGGTTAAAACTTAACTATAATCTGAGTAAATGTGCTCATTTATCAAACAGTTGCATCCTGTTCACGGCTTTCTCTATCCAACATTTAGACTTACTTGAATACTTTTTTAAAACTGGAGTTGGAGGTGTGGCTTCATTGGTAGAGAGCTAGCCAGTAAGCAAAAGCAGCTGCAGGTACTGAGTTCAAATGCCAGTCCTGGACCTAAAAAAAAAGGAAAATTATTATTAATATCCTTAAGTAGTTGTACAAAGGGGTTTCTTTTAGACATTTTGGCATACCTATCTTATTAGTATTATTTTGAGCTGTCTTGAGCAAAATGCTTCACATGGAAGTATGTTCTGCTAGAGTCAAGTCTAGCAATCAAGAGAGGCAATTTGAGTGGCTTAGAAAAAATGTACACTGAGGTCTGGTGTAGGGGCAGCCACAGATAAATATATTTATCTTTTAAGTTTACTTAAAGAAAACTTGCAGAGGGGCTGGGAAGGTGGCTCAGTGGTAGAGCACTTGTCTTGCATGCCTGAGGCCCTGGGTTCGATTCCTCAGCACCATGTAAGCAAAAAGAAAAAAGCCCGAAGTGGCGCTGTGGCTCAAGTGGTAGAGCGCTAGCCTTGAGCTGAAGAGCTGAGGGACAGCGCCCAGGCCCAGAGTTCAGGCCCCATGACTGGACCCCCCACCCCAAAAAAAGAAAACTTGCAGATTTTCAATGGAAATTTTGTCTTGTTCTGCAAAATCCATTTGGAGGAAGAGGTCTGTTGTTATAGCAACATGTGGAGCTTGTCAGGACAACACACTCAGGGAGAGATTTCCAGTGTTGTAAAACAGAACCTCAACTACTTCCAGGGACTGTAATTTACTGGTGGGAAATCAGTGGACCAGGGGCTTGAAGGAGGCTCAGAGTGATGACAAACCAGCTAAAACATTCATGAGGATTTGCTGTTCAGAGAAGTGACCATTGTAGACCACTGGAAAAAGGCAATCTTTCAATGCTAAGAACAGAACATAAAAACCAACAAAGCCCAATAAGCCACTAGAGCCAAGTCTGATGTCCATCTTTATTTATCAGGTAAAGAAGAAAAGACAGAGCCAGGGGCATGCTCATGGTAAAGCAGTTTCCCAGCGAGCACAAAGCTTTGGGTTCAATCGTCCCTACACCATCAATGGCCCAAACCATCCAGTTGGTCTACAGCTGCCAGACGAAGTGGTTAGCCCTTCACCCTGGAGAGGGCATTTCACCTTCAAACCCAAAATGCACGAGACTACTTGCTACCTACCACCTCTACCGTGCTGGATTACAGGTGTGTGGCACCTTGCCTGGTTTGCAATCCCTTTGTGGGTAACAGGTCTTAATAACAAGTAGCAGGCTGAAACAAGAGCATGACTGCAAAGGAAATGAGATGGCAAAGATTTTTCTAACTCAATTGAATAGCTGGCACATCCACAAAGAGATTTATATGAAGGAACAAAATTGTAAAGGCACTCAATGTGGAAAGAAGCTGATGTTCTATTCCAACAAGACACAAGGAAGGTTTGGAGACCACTCCGAAACTCTGGTCAACCATTATAGCTATGTTGTCATTGGCGATAAAGATGGTACTGGTAACTAGTCCACACCTGCATTCAAGATGGTGGAATGGAGCACCTCAGTTCAGAGAACAGCAATCCTCCACAATATTATATCAAGTTCGATTTGCAATTAGGCACAATTTGTAGTTAGGCATACAGAAATGGCAAGTATACAGGATGTGGTGGGTTTTAGGTAGCATATTTAAAACTGAGATTTATACTAAATTTGCAACTCCTGGTTGTGAGGGTTGATTTATGTTTTGATTCCTAGCAACCCTAAGAGCCAGGGAATGTGGAATTTCCCTTTGATAGATGTGCGGGCAACAGGATCTACTCTCCTCGGCTTTGGAGCTTCGCGTTCCTGTAATGTGAGAGGAGGAAGCAGCACTGGGCGTGGTCTGCAGGCAGCATGGAGCCAGGTCTCTTCCTCACTATAAAGGAATGCGAAATGCAAAAGGACAGCTGCATGCTGGCCACAGTGACCCCACGGATGACCTGAGGCAAATGCTCGCGCTCTCCATGCAAGCCTTCAGCGCTGGAAACGAGCTTGAGTAGGAATGGCGACTCTGCCTTACCTTCTTCTTGAGAATGAGCCCACAGGCTCTTCTCTGCCTCTCCAAATCACCCCTGGGTTCTGATCTGCTCATTGCCAAGTCCCTGTGGGAAGATGGCACCGGTGGTGGCCCTCTTCCCTTTAGCTTACATTTCCACCCATCCAGGCTCTCCTGAGGGGCTACATCTGGTGTTAAGTCAGGAGCCCTAAGCCAGGTGTTCTGTTCAGACATACTGCATACATTCCAGCAGCCTCTGTTGGCTTCCTAGTTGTCATGGCAATGTAGGTCAGTGACCATTTGACATCTTTATCCAAAGTTATAAGCAGAACTGCGCGACAGGGTCCAAACCCTTCTTGTGTTCCCTTGGGACAGAGCATCGGGTCACCGACATGCTGTCATCTGTCATCCAGCCTCCACATTACCGGCTGCACTCTGCAGATTGTGCTCGACCGCCCCCTGGCGGATGTAAAGACATTGCCGTTTCCAGGACACAGACCTTGAAGTGAAGTACATTTGCCAAAATACTGTATCATAAAATGAAGTTTCAAGGAGAAACAAAGGAGGAGGCTACAATGCTTGATAAGAAATGTACTCATGATCTTGCCCATGTAATTGTAACCCCTCTGTACAGTATTTTCACAATAAAAAAGGGAAAAAATGGAGTTTCCCAGTCCCTGGGGGGAGATGGTGACACATTTTATTTGTGTAGGATAATTTCTATACATGTGCTGTACATCTCAGGTTAAATGTACTCACATACACATATTTCCTTGAGAGAGTTGACAGAATTATATCTATCTGCATATATCAAAACTTATGTATATATATCAAAACTTACCAAATAGTACACATTAAACATTTGGAGTTTATTGTGCATTACTTAAATCCCAAAAAGCTGAAAAATAAGAACAGACAAGAAAGGTTAAAAAAGTTCATGTCTAAAGTATCCCACCTTTCAAGGTACAGAATAGTTTCATTTACCGAAGCCCTGGCGCCTAACTTCACCTCTTATTCACCTCTCACTCATACTTTCTTCCACCAGAATGGCCCGCCCGCCCCAGCACACGCTCCGGCATACCCCGATTCCTCTTACCGGGAAGGACCACGTGTAGGAGTCACTGCGGTGGACCCCCCTCCCCTGCAGGGCCTTCAACAATTCTTCCGTGGACCATAGCATAGGTTCTGGCCCAGGCACTCACTGTCCCAAGCACGTTCTTCTTTTCTAAGGTGTTGAAGTGTGATCTTGCGACTTTCATGAAGACATGGGCCTGTGACCTATCAACACAGATCTCACCTTCCACTAAGCTGTCAGAATGCTCTAGATCTTTCTAGTTTACAGTGATTTGGGGGATGCTGGTCATGTACGTTACTGAATAGCTCCAGTCTGGATGATGGGTTTAAACTTGGGTAGATTGAGGTTGTGTTTCTTTAGAGGGAGACCACAGGAGCCCCATGCCTCCCTAGCCAGGTCAAAGGTCAGGACATGCAGCCCTGCCCTGGAGGATGGGTGATGGTGCTCAGTGCACCAGAGAGAATACCCATGTAACTCTACAGAAACTGATGATAGTCGTTTCTTTATTTCTTTAGCATCAGCCTTGTAAAAAAAACATCCAGAAATGCTGACTTTTAAAAGTGGTGTGTCATTGGACTTCACATTGCCTCTCATGTTTGCGTGTTTTTAACATACAATCTAACAGGAAGGCAGGCACAGGAGCGGCACTATTATCAGCCTTTGAGAACCAGTGGGGAAGTGGGAAGTTCTAATTGTTTTGGGAAAAGATTCTCCTGAGATTTCATTACTGCCCTCTGTTCCCAGCTAGTCTCCCACCGCCTGTCCTGCGCAGAACGCCAGCACATCAGCCGACGTGTGCAGAGGGGCGGGCAGAGGTGAGCACCCACTTCATGAGGGAGCAGGATGAGTGACCCAACTCCATCTCAGTTTTGCCTTCTGAGCAAAGGAGAGGAAAATACCCCTACGCGAGGTCTCAGGAAGACGGAGAAGTGAGCCTGAACCCTAGACTTTAAATCTTGGAATCCCTTTTTATAGTCTCTCTCAGCACAAACAGAGATGAATGAGGTATGTACAAATCCAGAGATGGAAAATACAGCAATCGTCACCTGCAGAGATGAGGTGGGGGACAGTAAATGAAGGCACAGATAGTGCCTTTAGTTACAACACATTAGTGCATGGTTTAGAATTTAATAGACATAATATTAAGTATTGCAACATAGCCTATATGTTTCAGCACTAAGTGTGAGACTGACCGTGGGTATCTTGTGGATGGATGTTATTATTTTACTACAAAATCAGTTTGCTTGACCTAGGAGAGAATACTAGAATGAAGGCAAAGTGCCCAGTGTACTCTCTCAGATGATCCTGGAGTTGTGTGTGGGGTGGAAGGGACTAGATACAAATAATGGTAGCTCTTCCTAAACAGGTCACAAATCAAGTTCTCTCTATATGAGAGAACATGCTGGCATAAATTGCTGAAATAAATAAGATTTAGGAGTAGTGAGAAGTGGACTAAAAGGCTTAAGTGACATTTCACATTTCATTACCATTCAGGACAATAAGTGCCTCATAAATGTTCTTCTTTCCTTACATACAATTATCAAAGGAAACGGCCCCAGGAAACCACTCCACAGTGACTGAGTTCATCCTGGCGGGGCTAACAGAGAAGCCAGAGCTCCAGATGCCCCTCTTCCTCCTCTTCCTGGGGATCTACGTGCTCACGGTGCTGGGGAACCTGGGCATGATGGTGCTGATCGCGCTCAGTTCTCACCTGCACACCCCCATGTACTATCTCCTCAGCAGTCTCTCCTTCATTGATGTGGGCCAGTCCACCGTCATCACCCCCAAAATGCTGGCGAGCTTTGTGACAGAGAACACTATCTCCTATCCTGAATGCATGGCTCAGCTCTACTTCTTGTGTGTTTTTGCAATAGCCGAGTGCCACATGCTATCTGCCATGGCCTACGACCGCTACGTGGCCATCTGTAAGCCCTTGCTCTACAACGTCACCATGTCCCGTGGAGTCTGTGCTTGGATGGTGGCTGGCGTGTACAGCGTGGGGTTGATTGGTGCCACGGCCCACACAGTCTTCATGCTAAGACTGAATTTCTGCGAGGCAGATGTAATAAACCATTACTTCTGTGATCTTTTCCCATTACTGGAGCTCTCCTGCTCCAGCACATTTGTCAATGAGGTAGTGGTCCTGTGCTTCAGTGCGTTTAATATCATCGTCCCCAGCCTCACCATCCTGGGCTCCTACATCTTCATCATCGCCAGCATCCTCCGCATTCGCTCTGCCCAGGGCAGGTCCAAGGCCTTCAGCACCTGCAGCTCCCACCTCTCCGCTGTGCTTGTCTTCTTTGGCACTCTAGCCTTCATGTACCTGCAGCCGTCCTCAGTCAGCTCCATGGACCAAGGGAAGGTGTCCTCTGTGTTTTACACCATCATTATCCCCACGCTGAACCCCTTGATCTACAGCCTGAGGAACAAGGATGTCAAAATTGCCCTAAAGAAATTCCTGGGAAAAAAGTAGTTTTCTATAAAAAATTAGTATTTTGCTTTCATAATGAAAAAAAGTACGATTTCCAGAGGTTTGACGAGGATTCAGACTGAGATGCTTGATCAAGCACGGGCAGGAGCCTGCCATGCCTGGACTGCTGCGGACACAATGCCAAAGACAGGACTGAACTCCCAGCTTCAGACCCTGGGACGGCGTTTCCCTGCGAGGCCCGGAGTCAGCGGCTTGTGGGAAGCTGTCTCGCCTCTGAATGCCACTGAAATGTTTCAAAGTAAACTACAAGGTTGATACTTTCTGTATGTTTGAACACATCTCTTTTAAGGCCAGAGCTATTCACATTAAATGATAATAAATACATTTGTTCAACATCATTTGATAGTCTTTGAAGTTTGCTGCCTGGCTTTCTTATGTGTGTGTTAGCACACAATTCTTAAAAAAAACTGTAAAATAATTGAAGGATTTGAGATATGCAAGAGGTGTGGGGAACTAAAAATTAGACAATAAGAGAGATGTGATGGGTACAAAGACAGAAGGGAGCTCACCTCCGCTTTGTCTCCAAATACAAAGATGTCTTCTCTGTTACTGTTTCTGCCAAGAAAGGCTCCTTGGTACTAACAAGAACTGTCAGCTTCTTCACAATGGCTTTGTGTTTTTTACTTCATGTTAAGATTTGAATCAACACTGGTGAACTATCTGTCTCCTGATGTTCCTGAGGTATTTTGTTAGGAAGTTCTTGCCTTTTACAATTTTAAAAGGTAGATTTTTTTGGGCAATTTTTCCACATGACCATTAATAAACAGATTGTTGTCTCTACTTTCTATTTTTTCCACTTGTGAATAATCACCTTAAGATGATTGCTTTAGTGTAGGTCCTAAAATGTTTTGAATTTTTAAATTGGTTGGTGATAAGCTCCCTAGAGCTCTGACTTTATCTCTCAGGACCTTGCTTTCATCTCATAGTCCAGCAAGGATAGTGTTTTATGTTTATCCCTCACACCGTGTGGTGATACTCAAAAAGGGGGAGCCCACAGGGAAAAGGAATTTCTGATCGTTTCTTGAGTGATAACGTTCTAGTAGGTTGTCATGATCCTATCTGGTGGTGAATCAGTGTCTTATCACCTGTAGCTGGCCTGTGAAATTCCCATATGCTTTGGACATCACTTGCGTGAGCACATGAAGCAATGCGTGCAGTGAAAATACAGTGCATATGGTTGTGTGGAGCAGCAATGATCCTGCCCCACCACGCCCTCTCTTCATTGTGGTTGTGTCTCCGTTTTAACCTCCATCATGTCTTCCAAACTCCACAGATCTTCTCGATGTCAGCCACATGCGTTTCTTCTCCCATTCGCAGCACTCCAGGCTGTAATCATGTTCACTTCTGCTTCATCTCACAAAACACGCTCACGCACATTCTCCTGTGTGCTTTACTACCGATCTATACTTGAGAACGATAAATTGTCAAGTGCTTGATAAAAAAAAAAATCTTGCTTGCATATTTCTTTCTTTCTTTTTTTTTCTTGTGCCAGTACCATGGCTTTGAAATCAGAGCCTTGTGCTCTCACTTGACTTTTCCACTCAAGGGTAGTGCTCTACCTCTTGATCCACAGCACCACTTCTGGCTTTATTTTGCTAGCTCTTTTGACATAGAGAGTCTAGTGGTTTATTCTGACTTCAAATTGCCACTCTCAGATCTCAGCCTCCTGAGTAAGTAGGGTTATATGCACCACTGCCACATGTATATTTCAATTCTAAAATTTAATAATTGTTGATGATGAGCATTTCCATGGGGTTAAATTTTTATAGTATAGATATCCTTAAACTTTAAACAAATTTAGCTGTAGACACAATTTATACTAAAAAAAATCCAAGCTTTAAGAAAAAGTAAAACCATTCCAAAATATATTAAGGACATTTTCATTGCAAATATTATCTCAGTATCACTTTTAACTGATTTGCATAACAAAATTATATTAGATGAAATATAATTTTACTTGCTAGTAGTTTATTATGAAAATAATCTATATGGTATATGTTTTCATGTGTCCTCAGCATTTCCCTTTTAATTTTAGAAGGAAAAATCCCCCCATCTTCCTCCCCACCCCGTTTTCAGGAATTCCTCAGAGGTCTTAGAAAAATCTTTGAAGTAACAAGAGAGCTCAGTGAAATCTTTTTTCATTCAAGCCTCAAGTTAAAAATACTTTTGGAATCAACTAAATACATGGTAACAAAATCTTTCAAATCTTACAAAGATTTCTGTCCCCACTTTTCTAGTCCCCCACCCCTTTTGGGAAACCACCTTCATCATTTCCTTTAGTGTAAGTCTAAAAAACTTCCTAAAATTTTCAATTTTACAATGTGCTGTTATTAAACTCACTAGAGACCTGATGTTATCTTTCACAACGTGTTAAAAAAATCCATAACTGAACAGAAATCATTCATCAGGCCAGTGTGATAAGGTGCAACCTGAGATACATAAGCCTGGGGACTGGTAATGGTGTCCCTCCCCATGGAGTCCGCACTGGGGACAGCGTTCCAGTGGGAAGCCATTATCTCATCCCCGAGCACAGTCTCTTTACCTGCTGCACGCATAAATTGTCACATGCAAGCTTTCACGATGGACACAAGTCTGTGGGCCCTCGCTCCCTTGGAGATCAACATTGGTTTCCAGAGGATAGTTTTGAGGATCACTGTCTCCCATGTTCACAGCAGAGAAGCAGAGCACTCAACACTGAATGTTCTGGGAAGAACAGGGGTATGTCTGAGGGTTTACTTTTTTTTTTTTTTGACTCACCTACTGCAGTCTTTCAATGTCATCTGAGATACACAGGTCTGATTTTCATTCTCAATGTGAGCCTAAAGCCAGTTTCCCATAGTTGTGATGAGCCTGGCCGTTGGCAGTGCAGACTTCCAGCCGACAGCTCTGCGTAATCACTTCAAGTCGGGTAATCTCAGCGCTCTGCACAGTCATCTGTAATCCGTCCGCTGTCTTCAGTTCTTCTAACAAATACTTCATATAGTTGTGTTGAGGCCTGCCACGTAGAAAGCACTGTTCAAATTAGTCAACTGAATCTGTGATTTAGTGAGGAAGAAAATGTGGTGTAAGCAACTGTAGCAATTACAGCAGAATTAAGAGCTTGCTGCATTTAACCATATAAATTACATTCATGGGTAGACACTTGTCTACTAACTGGAATTCCATTATTAAAGGTGTTAATAGCCTGTTGAATGGTAATAAGTTCAACTGCAATTCTAGCTCAGGTGCCATTCTGTAATTTTTAAAAAAGTACATGTCATGTGACAGTTACTGAGCCACAAAGGAAGAAAACAATTTTTTTTTCTTCTTTTTAAAAGTCTCTATTGACCCCATTTGAATTCTGCCCATCTACTCCTGCTGTTTACCTCAGTATCTATTCTGCTGCATGCCTTTCTAGATTTTCACATTTGAAAGTGCTCAGGTTCTAAATTATTCAACTCTATCCTGAAGACACTGCTAAGTTTTTGCTTATCCTTATTAAATCATCTTTAGTACCCTAACACACTGCCAGCCTAAGAAGATCTCTTTGAATTATTATTATTATTATCATGTAAGAACGGCCACTTCCTACTGCTGTCACCGTAATGTCTTGCAGTTACTGACAGAACGCTACTACCAAAATAAGAAAAAGTGTGAAGATGCAAAGAATAGCAACTTAAAGTTTCACACTTATAATGGGGGTTTCGATGTTACCTGGTTCATGTTATATGATACACCACTGTTGTTTTTAATCTATAAAACATAAATATGTTGTGTCCCTAAGACACCTAAGAGAGATTTAGCAATTTAGCAGTTACTAAATTCAGGATAATTCAGGACTATCTCATTCTTGTGTTTGTGGGTGCCAGTACCAGACCTTGAACTCAGAGTCTCGCTCTCTTATTAGTTTTTTTTCTTACATCTGTGGTCTACTACCTCAGCCTGGCATTTTGCTGGTTAACTGGACATAAGAGTCTTGCAGATTTTCTGTTCAGATCAGCAATCTGCAGGTCTTAATGTCTCAAGTGGCTACAATGACATATGTCACTGCGAATCAATTTCCCATTATCTCATTCTATTAAAATCTACTTAAAAAATCTAATAAAGCAAAATTCTGGTTGTGATTTTTGCAGTATAATGATAATTCTGAGTTGTCACCGCTTCCTTCTGCGAGACCTTCTAATGTTTACTCTTCAGAGGCAACATTGCCTTTTCAGAGACAGTCACAGAAAATTAAGGCTGTGCGAGATCGTTTATGAGATGTTTCTATAAGTGAGTCTCGGAGTTAGACAAGGCAGCAATGGTTACCGACAATTGAGAAGTAGAGGAGACAGTGAACAGATATTCAAAGAGTCTATTTACATTATGAAACAAGACCTAATGATTCTCTGTAAAGCGTAGTGTTTTGTGCTAACAATGTCATAGTGTAAATATCAAAATTTCAGATGGTGAGTTTTATATTAAGTATTCTTACCACCCCAAAGTATCCCAAACAAAACAATTACAAAATACAAAGTAGCATAAAGAATTTAGGAAAGCAATAAAAATATCGAATACCTTGATAATGCTCCTGTGACCACGAACATTTGTGAATGGCCACATTGATCACACTGTATGTTTGATATGCAGTCTTTGCATTTTAATCCTTCCCCCAATTAATTTTTAAGGAATAACCAACCAACACATTTTCCTTGTAGAAAGCAACAACATTTTCCTTATAATTTATTCATTGGGAATTTATTCAGGCAGAGGAGGTTGAGCCCCTGATGGAGGGCAATTTGTTTGGGAATTTTCTACCAGGGTTTCAGGACACAGAGGTGGGATGACATGGCAGAAGAGGACTTAGGAAGGAAGACATCGGGTCAGAACCAGTCTCAGGGGGAGGTGGAGTGAGTCAGAGCCTCACACTACTGTCTGGGACACCACGGCAGGACAATAGACAAATGGAGCCTTTGTGATGGGGATGTGTAGTTATGGGCATCACATGGTGGGAGACAAGTAAAGTGGAAAGACAGGTCATTGGTGACCTAAAACAAATGCTGGCTGGATATGTTTCTTGCTTTTGTTATGTATTCCACCACAGATGGGGCTCCAAGGTTTTGACTGCCAACGCAGGTGAAGAGATCATAGAGAGCCAGAGGCACCTGGCTGAAGGGACAGGCGGAGGCCGTCGGTAGCTCATTGAATGACAGAATCATCAATGGCTGTGTCGCAATTTCTCCCCTCTTCAGACATGGTCTTTCCAGAGGAAAGAGCAAAGGGAAATCACTCACCAGTGACCGAGTTTCTCCTCTGTGGGCTAACGGAGAAGCCAGAGCTCCAGCTGCCCCTCTTCCTCCTCTTCCTGGGGATCTACCTGCTCACGGTGTTGGGGAACCTGGGCATGATCACGCTGATCGCGCTCAGTTCTAACCTGCACACCCCCATGTACTATCTCCTCAGCAGTCTCTCCTTCATTGACTTCTGTCAGTCCACTGTCATCACCCCCAAAATGCTGGTGAGCTTCGTGACAGAGAACACCATCTCCTATGCGGAGTGCATGGCTCAGTTCTACGTTTTCTGTTTTTTCATTATCGCTGAGTGCCACATGCTGTCTGCCATGGCCTACGACCGCTATGCGGCCATCTGTAAGCCCTTGCTCTACAATGCCACTATGTCTTCTCAGGTCTGTTTCTGGATGGTCGTTGGGGTTTATGGCTTGAGTTTGATTGGCTCCACAGCCCACACAGTTTGCCTGCTCAGGCTGAACTTCTGTAATGGTATAATAAACCATTACTTCTGTGACCTCTACCCGTTACTGGAGAGCGCCTGCTCTAGCACGTTTATCAACCAGGTTGTAGGGATGAGCTTCTGTGCATTTAATATCGTCATTCCAAGCCTGACTACCCTTAGCTCCTACACCTTCATCATTGCCAGCATCCTCCGCATCCGCTCCACCTCGGGCAGGTCCAAGGCCTTCAGCACCTGCAGCTCCCACCTCTCCGCGGTTGCCATCTTCTATGGTTCCACGGCCTTCATGTACCTGCAGCAGTCCTCAGTCAGCAACATGGACCAAGGGAAGGTGTCCTCTGTGTTTTACACCATCATTATCCCCATGCTGAACCCCTTGATCTACAGCCTGAGGAACAAGGATGTCAAGGCGGCTTTATATAAGTTTATTGAAAAGAAACATTTCTGATGAAAAGGAATAATGTGACCTGGGCACCAGGGGCTCACACCTGTAGTCCTAGAAACTCAGGAGGCTGCGATCTGAGGATGGAGATTCGAAGCCAGCCCCAGGCAGGGAAGTCTGTGAGACCTTTATCTCCACATAACCAGCAAAAAGCCAAAAGCAGAGCTATGACTCAAGTGGTAGAGTGGAAAACTATGAGTGCAAAGACTAAGGGATACATGGTTTCCCTTACTTTTTTATTTATTTATTTTTTAGTCTAGTGGTGGGCCTGAACTCTGGGCCTGGGCGCTGTCCCTCAGCTCTTCACCTCAAGGCTAGCGTTCTACCACTTGAGACACAGCACCACTTCTGGCTTTTTCTGCTTATGTGGTGCTGAGGAATTGAACCCAAGGCCTCATGCATGCAAGGTAAGCACTCTACCACTGAGCCACCTTCCCAGCCCTGGTTTCCCTTATTTGCAATAACTAGTATATGTCTGGGACAAGCAGAAAAAGGTCAGATAAGATGATGTTAATTAAGTAAAATGAACTCCAAGATAGGGACACAAGTGGTTTTTTCTTCCTTGCTATTGTTTCTAACATATTTATATGGTACCATGTGATTTTTTTGTTGCTTTGTACGTCCCTCCCCCATGGTATATCCTGCTTTCACTGTATTTGATGTCGGTATAATTTGTGGAGGGGAAGGGAAAAAACAAATTGTTTAAATAGGGATACAGGTGGACCCATTGCAACAATGAGTTGTACAAGACACTATGTTGAAAAATGAACTTTACAATTTAGGTGGGGTGTGGGGGGGTGTAGGTGAGGAGGTGGGAGGGAGGGGATAGTAGGGGAAAAACAAAGGAGGAAGCAACAATGTTGGATAAGAGATGTACACATGACCTTGATCTTGTAGCTGTAACCCCTCTGTACAGTATTTTCACAATAAAAAACTTAATTAAACAGTGAAAAAAAAAACAACTAAGGGATAGCACCCAGGCTTTGAGTTCAAGCTCCGTGAGGGGCACAAGGATAAAGTTAAAAAGCATAATTTTCTTAAGCCAGGTGTAGGTTCATGCATGGTTCTCGGAAAGTGGTGAGAAGAGGTTCCAAACCAACACACAGAGCATAAGACTCTTATCTGAAGAATGAACTCAAAAAGTGGACTGGTAATGTACCTCTGTCCTAAGTACCACAAAAAGGAAAGAAATTTATGAATTTAGGTTGTTTCCTAACACAATGGGACAGAGGCAGCAATGGATGCCTGTTACTCATCCACTCCAGGAACTTACTTGGTAGTGGGAAGAAAAGTTTTAGTAGCAGGACTGGACTCACAGGCTTGAACACCTGGAGGACATGGCCTCTCCTGGACGCCTGAGTCCTTCTACACGGGGTACGCCATGTCATTCTGACACCATGAATGTTCTCTAAAAGCGACTCCCTCTATTTTTATGGATGTAGCTGTTTGGGGAGAAGACTCGCTTACATGGAATCAGCGAATAAATATATTTGTTCAATATCCCTGGATTGTCTCCATATTTTTTTGTGTCTGGCTTTCTTACCTAATTGTGTTCGTAAACAATATGAAAATATAATCTCTAAAATAGCTAATTCACCCTTTTAGAATATATAAGCTGTAAGTAATCGCGACACTTATTAAACATGCAGCATTACACTACAAAGTATGGGATCAGGGAATGTGGAAAAAGAGCTCTTACTCATAGGCGATAACAACATATAAACAGCATCTTGGAAGAGGACAACAATTTTTTTTTATTGTAAAGATACTATACAGAGGGTTACAGTTACATGAGTGAGGTAATGAGTACACTTCCTCTTGAACATTGTTACCCCCTCCATTGTTTTCCCCCTACCATCCCCTCCCTCCCTCCCTTCCCCGAGGTTCTTTTTTTTTTTGATTGTGATTAAGTGATTACATAATTTCCAGAAATTCACAGTAT